AGATTGGAACTAGCTTATAAAAGAGCTAGAGTTATGTTAGAAGCAAATAAGAATAGGAATAAATTACTATACGACCATAGGGTAAATGATATAGATATATCAGTAGGCGACCAGGTATAAACAGGTCATAAGTTAGATGTTAAATACACCGGTCCTTACGTAGTAACGGAAATAGGTGATAGGGATAATATAGTCATAGCCAATGATAAACGTAAGACACAAACAGTTCATAAGGATAGGTTAAAAATCTTTATTTCATAATTTGCATTTAGTATGGCCATACACATTCATAAATACACACCCATATCTACACATTAATACACTTACAAAATACACAAAAAAAAAAAAAAAAAAAAACCGAACAAAACTAAAACAAAAAAAAATAGCAAAAAAACAATTTAAAATGTATTAATTATAAACCTAAGTATAAAATAACTTCACTATGTTACGTTATTTTTCAAAAGGAGGGAGATGTAATGTATGCACACATAACGAATACGCACTGTACCCAGAGTACTTAAAGAGTGCGCACTGTAATACTTTATTGCAGTGTTTACATATTTCAATGTCCCGGTCATAAACCTTAATTGGCCGAAATATGAACCGATCGCTATGGCTTAGCCCGCACACCGAAAGTGCTAGCATCTGCATATTTGTATCGAACGGACTGCACACGCATACCCCTCGCGCCTCCACCTGAGAGTGCATAGCCAAGGTACATAAGTACTTTCCTTTACATATAAGAATATATATATGCAGCCGTCTCTCTGCCGCCGCCTGCGAGCAGCGCAGCTACGAGACTTAGTTTAAATTATAACTTAAGGAATATTGTAAAAATCAGAAACCTTTTGAGAGTCGGCGCGGCACCTTAGCTGCTCCAACCCATCTAAAGAATAAATAAAATATCTACTACAAATTAAATAAAAATCTTATACATTTTGGGCACTGTCGGGACCATCATATTTCACTTCCGTTATGTTTTTGGGGTTTGCTGCTACACCCTGACGCACTGATTCGCGGTTTGGCGTATTATTCTGTTGTGGCCTTGGTAAATTAGAAGGGTTTTGTACGTTTCTCGCACTGTTCCTAGTGGCGGGTCGAGTTCTGGGTATTGCTCCAGATCTTGAACTGCCTGCTATTGCTGCGCTTGGTGCCTGCAAAGCTTGAGCTCTTGCTTCCACCGATTCTGGATTTATATCTGATCGAGTTAGGTGCTGTCGGCACAAAGGACAAGTCTCATTGCTGTCTAACCAAGTTAATAGACACTCTCTATGAAATTGATGTCTACAAGGTGTGGTAAGTATTTCGCCCTCAGTGACTACATTACAAATTGTACAAAAGAAACCTTCACCGGCAGGTGGTATGGCTGCAAGGTTTTCATAATTTGAATATTTATCAATTTAACTATGTTTTATTTATTTTATAACTATTGGTTTAAAGAAGAAGAAGGTAGTTTACTTACTGAGTTATATTTTTTTGTAAAATTAAATCAAATAAGGGTATGTATATGAAATGTATATGTATATTTTTTTTATATATGACTGAATTAGGACTTATCCTTAAGTATCTTCACCTCAGAGTATTCTATATTTTATATATGTTTTCTTCTGTTTAGTTCATGTCGCAAATCTGATTTAAATACAAAATTAAAGGGAATTTTAATCATAGTAAAAGAGGATCATGCCCTACAAGGTAATCTAGTATGAACTTCTCAATTTTACACAGATTAAATACGCTATTAAACTGTTTCTTGGTGGTGTGCTGTCTGCTCGATGACAAACGCTACATTCCAACCAGATTCAAATTTAAATATAAATATGTCATTTCTTACAGTTTATATTTCTGGTTGACATTTTAATTTAATGACAATTCCTAGATTTATAGACTGCAATTATTTCGGAATTTACTACAAAATGTTTGGATGGATTTAGGTTAACGGGGGGATTTTAGGGAAGTATTTTGGGAAGCAGGGTACTGGAACCTAAATACATTAAGCAATGTATATATTTAAGTTTTCCATATGGTTTTACATTAAAACCTAATCGTGCCCCACGTTGGGCGCCAAATTCTGTAACGGACGGTATATGTCCTTCGAGGAACGCTCTGTCTACGAAAAGGGGTCCGGCCGTGCTCAGGGAAAATGGCGTGGTTCTTGTTCCTCTTGGGACATTCCCATTACTCGAATTAAATGTAGACAGAGTATCGGGAGGAAATACGGAAACCCGAAAAACTTGTAACTACGACTTGAACTATTTTTGTAAGAGAAGTGAGGTGTTATTTATCTCCTAGCGAATTGAATTCCTCTGAGGTGTTAACCCTTAAGGTGCCTAAATAAAACTCTAATAATTCATAATTTCAATTTCGTTATAGTTTCATAAAGTTTATACTCAAAATATAATGTGCAATTAATTCTATAATGGTATATAAAAATTCAAAAAGAGTCGTTTTCATACTTAGATCCTAATATTTAACAAAAAAAAAAAAAAAAAACGCTATTTAGAGCGATCTGAAGAACCTGTGTGCTGGTCTTGGCTTCTCATAAATTTTTATATCGGCTATGCCGTACTTACGACCCAGTCCCTCGATGTCGACGGGCCCGTTGACCTCACGGTGACCTTGGCTGATAAATGTGGAAATTAAAGTCATATATGAAAAACCAAACTCGTCAGCAGCACATGAAATCAAATTCAGATATAAGTACAAATTCTCTTTAAAAAATATAAACTAAAATTAACAAAATAATATAACGCAGGCGATACAAATAATCCTGCAGTTGATTAAGTGCACAGAAATAGATGGCGCAGCGCCCTTTTGGGGGGGGGGCCGCCGATATAGCTGGTGAAAAGCTGAGGGGTAGATCCACAACAAAAAAAACGACCCCCTTCTTGGTGTCTTAATGTCTCCTTTAGCCTCCAAATATATATGTAAACGGCGTAAGGTGGGCCAGCGGCCGTGGCCGGCCAGAAGGCGGAACGGGGCGGAAACGTTGATCGCTGCCGCCGCCACTTAATTGGGGTTTTACTGGCTCTCAATAAACAAAGGTTTCGCTGCCCGATCGGGAGCGGGATGGCTCTGATAATCCGGCTAGAAAACTAAAGTTTATTTTCTATTTGAACCTCACTTTTTCACAAAATGCTTACCCGGAGTATTTCGGAACACAAAAACACAATAATATTGGTTTCCAGAAGTTCTCCTTTAATTTAAATATCAATGCCTTGTGTGGCGAAGCACAATTAATAGTTCGGCGAGGTTGAAATGAATTTTCCTGCACGTAAATATATATATTTTCCGTGATATAGTAATCACGATGTTTCGCTGGGCACAGATCTCAAGAGAATGAGAGAAGGGCCAAAACGGAAACGAGGGTATAAAAATTAAGCTCGATTTGACAGGTGCATGACAAGTGCATGACAGCTAGATGACAGCTAATTAGAGTTGTCAACTAGATGCATCGATCAGCTGCTATCTATGAGCATCGATATATATTGCATAGATAATGAGCTTTATCTAAGCTAAGCTCTTAATTTAAGCTTTTACTTACAGTTTACAGTCGCGTCCAATTTTGTTGGTATGGACCGCGAATGAATAATATGGAACTGTTGAATATTTTAACATAAACTGCATTTCAACCCCACAAGTCATCAGATCCTGCTCGTTCCGACATAATAGCAGTATAATAGAGTCCAAAATTTAAATAAAACATATTTTTATACCCTTGCAGGGTATTATAATTTCAGTCAGAAGTTTGCAACGCAGGTAAGGAGACGTTTCCGACCCTATAAAGTATATATATTCTTGATCAGCATCAATAGCCGAGTCGATCTAGCCATGTCCGTATGTCCGTCTGTCCGTCTGTCTGTCTGTCCGTCTGTCTGTCTGTCCGTCTGTCCGTCTTTCTGTCTGTCTGTTTCTACGCAAACTAGTCCCTCAGTTTTAAAGCTATCTGAATGAAACTTTGCATATAGTCTTCTATATGCTCTCACTGCTATATATGTCGGAACGGGCCGGATCGGACGACTATATCATATAGCTGCCATACAAATGTTCGATATATTTGTAGAAAAAAAATTAGAACTTTGATGTTTTTCAACATTTTTGCACCATTTTAGATATGGCCATTCTATATTATTTTAGAATTTTGGTATAAATTTTATCAAAATCGGACGACTATATGATATAGCTGCCATAGGAACGGTCGAGAAATAAATAGGAAAAAAAATTAGTTTCGTTGTTTTTCAACGTATGTTTATCTACTCTGAGATATAAGCTTTTTTTATTATTCTATTATGGTATAAATTTCATAAAAATCGGACGACTATATCATATAGCTGCCATATAAACCGATCGGTAGATGTGGAGAAAATGTAAAACTGGGAATGTAAAACTGTAACTGTCAAACTTTAAACATAATAAGTATAGGTAAAATTTAATGAAACTCTGTTTTGTGAGTGTTTTCAGCATTTAAATCTATAATATAAACATCGAAACCAATCTGCAAGGGTATACAAACTTCGGCGTGCCGAAGTTAGCTTCCTTTCTTGTTAATAATTTTTTTTCCTTGAAAAAACAAATTTTTTTTCAATTTGATACCCTGTAAATTTTTAGCCGTGGTACATTATGTAGTTTTATAACAATTACCTGTCGTTAAATGCTGTTAAAATATTCTTTTATCTTATTTGGTTCAAAAGATATGATTTTTGCAACGCTAAATGAGAAAAGGAGCTACTGTGCGTCGCTAGGAGTACGTGACCGGGGCTGTTCCTTTCCCGGGCATCCGCAACACGCAGCCGGTCCCGCATAGTCGTCTGCCATACTTATAACCTGGGCTGCCCCGGCCGCTCCATCCCGGTAAGGCAGTTCGCCGATTTCAGCAGTCCGCGTGTCTGAGCCGCTAGCTTTCAACAGGCTGGTCGATAAGGCAGAAACGCCCTCTGCATGACGTTAAGCAATATCGCGGGATAGTGCCAGGGGTGTCGTCGTCAATGACTAAGTCGTCTAACAGCTTATTGGTGTCGTCGACTTCGTCATCGACATCGTCCGACTCGGCTAGAAAGACCTTAATCTTGGCCTTCCTGTTGCCCTTCCGGACCTTTTGGTCGGATTTTTTTATTTGTCCTAGGCATCGCTGGTTGATGACGCGCAAAAATGGTTCTTTTGTTCTTATCTCCTGTTCTGTCTTTAGAATGGCCCTGTCCATATTAACACATTGGTTCTGAACTCGCAGAGCCTTCAGCACCCTGACATGCCTCTTGGGTAACCAAATGCGAGATCTGGACCTTCCCGACATTTCCTTAGCGAAGACGAGCTTACTGCTTATCCTTTCATATGCGTCGCTTGACGAGGCGAGCGCGGTGGGGCCGAGGGGTTTGGGGCATTGAAGAAGGTTGACCATGACTTCGCCCCAAAGACACGGCAAGGCAACGTCCGACCCATGGTTGCCCAGCCCTGGGAGAGCTCAGTAAGAACGAAGCTGGGTTAACCCCTCAGTTGCGAGCCGTATAATCAGAGGGCACTGGTCGCTTAATGGACCTGCCAAGTCTCGTGAAACTGTCGCTCGCTGTACAGGGGGTACGGGGGTACAAGGGGTACCACGCGGAGGTTTCACTTTGAAGAGATAGTGGTGTATCAAATTGATGATTTTCCTAAGAGTCGACTTGGTTCACTAGTAAAGTCAGGGAATAGAAAAACTATACTAATCTTGCCTTGGTCTGAAACAACAACACTCGTAACTGTACAGTTTTATATATATATTATTATATATATGTCGGAGATAACCGTTATTTAATTTAACCGTAGTCGAGCCAGCGAGTTCTGTCCGCCTGCGCACTCAAAACGTATCTGTCATCACGTCACTTTTCTTTTAGCCTTTCCACATTTTCTTACTTTTCGCTCAAACGTCAATCCTAGACAATCTCTAGCTGTCTCTCTCACTCTTTCCTATTGTTGCGGCAGACGAACAGACCTCACTCAGTAACAGACAGTCTACTGTCCTTTTCCTGTTACCGACTCAACTGTCATTGCGCCTGCGCGCCAGCGACACCTACAGGCTACCAATACCTGAGCATGCCGAATAATTCTGTTGCCATAGCAACAAGCTTTCCAAATTTGCACTTAGCAACCAACTCGCCGACACGGCCATCCTGACATTTCACGCGTCCTCGCGTTACGTGTCTTCTAATAGCTCTAAACATAACAGTAATTTTCATTTATTTTTCTCTCTTGTTTCTCTCTTTTGTCTCAACTTAACATTTCATTTTAATTGTTTCACTCAATTCTTACCAATTCAGAAAGGCCCTGCTCCATATTTCAAAAGGCCCTGCTTCACATATTCTGACCATAGGAATAAAGTAGGCCCTGTTTCATGTGATCCGACACGGCCTTCCTGACAAATAACACGTCCTCGTGTGTTAACTTTAAATCACAGTATTCTCAAATTTCAGTACTCGTTACATTTTATTGTTAACAAACATTTCATTAATTTTCTAAACATAAGTATTGAGGCATTTAGACAAAATAAGCATCTTGGTTTCATGATAACATGATAACATAACAAATTACATCTTCATTTTAATCATAATTTACAATTCAGACTTCTCTAATTACATAGCTTTATCAACTGGTGTATTTCCTTTTACACCCACATACTGACCCCCGCCATAACAATTCCTTCTGTTATGGTGCGGTCTCCACTGACCCCCGCCATAACAATTCCTTCTGTTATGGTGCGGTCTCCACTGACCCCCGCCATAACAATTTCTTCTGTTATGGTGCGGTCATTATATCCCCTCTTGGGATTCCAAGGCATCAACCGTGCCATCCATATCATCATTCCCCACATGGGAATCAGACGCATCTCCACTTGAGTCGTCTAAATCTTCAATCAACTTTAATCTTTAATCAATCAACGTCATTGCTTATTTTGTCTATTTGGCTATGCCCTCAAAAACTCATGCGCATACTTATAAAAGTTCGCTTACTTGACAGATATCTCAAAACATATCGGCCACCATCAAGCTTTTCTATAAACTCTGTTTGGTGCCGTTCTTCATTTTCATTTTCCATCTTCATTTCTTTCTCTTTTCTCTCTCATTCTCTTCTTCTTCTCATTTTTCCATTTTCATTTTAAATTAATCTTGCCTTATCAAAATTAGTGCTCTTCCGAACGTAAGTTTAAATTTCTCTTTCTTTATACTTTTCTCTGTGTCATGTGGTGGTATCAAGCCCAAAGGGTGGGTCCGATTGGCATCTCTTAAGGGCTCGCATTGGTTGCACTACTAACTGTGCAGTTCGCCGCAAGTTGCACCCCGCCAAGAGCATCTTGCCATCACCTCTGCGGTCCTGGTATCCAGCCAGATGACTACTTTACAGCTTTACACATGATACAATTTTCAACAATCTTTAAACTTAGTCATTTCCAACAATTCTGATAAATATTGCTGAGTCTATTTTTTCCAACCCAAATACATAACGGATTTATAACCTTGATTAATAACTATCCAACAAAATTTAAGGGACACTACTGGCAGACAACATTACCTCACCCCTCTGTGTATTTTTAAGAACCCCCCTTCATAGCTCAATTTAATTTAAATTATTTTGAGTTGTTTATTAACTATATCAATCAATCCTGAATCCTGACTCTGATCATTCAGTTATTAGATTTCCATTCTAAGTTCAGACGTTTTTCTGTCAATTTATTTTTATTTATCGGAGTTGAAATCAGTCATGTGAATTCTGGACACAAAAAGAATTCCACATTTGTCTTGCGCTTTCTCTTCCTCTACTCTATGATGCACTTCAGTTAATTTTTTTTTTTTTGAAATGATTACATTTGCAATAAGTAGAGACTAAAAACTCTCATCTGAGCAAATAATGCCAAAAATATCAGAATAATTGCACGCCAACCAATATTTCCAATTCATATAGAGATAGATATCAAGACACATAATTCTACCAATATATCCACAAGAGCTTATATCTGTTTCAAATTTTATCGGATGTTGCGAACCAACAAATAACGATTACAGGCTCACTTGTAATAATATTAAAAGCGTTCGTTCCAATTTCTGAATATCGTCATTTCACTTAAAGATACTTGAAGCCGAAGAATATGTCTCATGATCTGAGAAAATCGAGGCACACGTTTTTGAAAATAAGGCACCAATTCAATAAATGGTCTTACGACGGTCTCTTAATTGCACCGATTAAAAGGACGGACCTTTAACGTAAGGATTTTCTAGGAATTGGGTCTGATTTCTCCACCGCACACCTCATAGCTCAGATACTGCGTAGTAGGTTCAAGAAACCCACATTTGGTAACGTTAAATGGCAACCCTGGTACAGTCAACACATTTAAGGGGGGGGTAAGGTTAATTCGGTGCAAAAAAGGCCACTTTTCAAAAAATTATTGTGGCGAAACGGCTAAAGTTAGCTTAATGAATTAAATACCATATAATAACAAAACATTTGAATAATTTTTGATAAATTTTGTATTGAAAAATATTTAGAGGTAGAGAAGTTATAGGGAATCTCCAGAGTCGCCTCCAAAAAAGTTGTTTTGCGGTGTACATCCTAACAGTCCACAGGATCATCCGATCTAAAAAAATTATACCTCATTCGTTAAAGGATAAGTGTCCCGAGGTATTCACGAAGCGTTTTTTTTTTTTTTAGTTTTTTTGTGATTTTTTAGGAAATTTGAAAGTCAAAAACCCGATTTTTGACTAAAAAAAAAACGTTATTTCTTAATTTAAAAATATATAAAAATTAAAAATTAAAAAAAGGCCGACGTGAATACCTGAGGAATTAGTTAAAGAATGTGTGCGCCAAATTTCAAATCGATCGGTCCAGTAGTTTTTCTGTAATCGTGTACACCGATTTGAAAAATTGAATTTTTCAGGAGAGCGCTTTAAACTTTGTGATTCCCATGCATTGAACACCAACCGACCTTCGTTCAATTCCGCATAACTTCGTCAATTTCACTCTGATCAATGTAAAACTTGGACACAATATTCTTAAGATGTTAAACTTTAAAAATAAAAAATAAAAAAAAATTTACGAAAAAAAAAATTAAATACCTTACCCCCCCCTTAATACAACCTTCAGCCTTCGGAAAGCCTTTTCTTCCGAGTTTGCCATGATCAACACGTCATCTATGTAAACTATCGCAAATAATCATGATAATGAAGGTAGAAGATGCACTCTACAAACCAAACGGCACGGCAGATCAGACAGACGGCAACTCGTAATGGTATATATGATAGCACAAATTATTATTTTTCAACAGAAACATTTTCCCTCACAGGGTCTGACATAAGCGGCAAAGGCCACTGTCCGAAACCATTTTCGAATATTGCTTCCGATAGTCTAAGCACAACCTATCGTAGCACAGGGCTCGCCAATGGGAAGGCAGATGGGCAAACAACACTGCAATCAAACACATCTCTATTCCCATCTTTTAGCCAATTCAGCTCCCAAATCAAAGAATAATTGGAAAGGGCTCACCCGATACTGTCACTGTTGAATCACACAAATCAACTCGCTTCTACATGCAGCTGCCGCTGCCGCTCGCAGCCGCTGATACCCATCTCGTGCACACAGATGCAATGTGACCACCGTTATCACGCCTGAAGTGCGTCACTCCAGTTCTCCGCACTTCAGCCGCAGTTCCGCCAGTGTGCTGTTGTTGTTGTCTTCCATTCTTCCCCAAATTTTCTGGCCGACAATGATGACACTTGCAACCGTCCGGCTCAACACGCGACCAGTGCATTTGACTGTCTCGCACCACGCGGCTGCGCAAGCTTTCGATGCGCTACTGAATTTAATATCGACCGAAAATCACTTTATCAGAATGCCCGCGAGGCTATGGTGAATCCCACTTCTGATGTCGGAGATAACCGTTATTTAATTTAACCGTAGTCGAGCCAGCGAGTTCTGTCCGCCTGCGCACTCAAAACGTATCTGTCATCACGTCACTTTTCCTTTAGCCTTTCCACATTTTCTTACTTTTCACTCAAACGTCAATCCTAGACAATCTCTAGCTGTCTCTCTCACTCTTTCCTATTGTTGCGACAGACGAACAGACCTCACTCAGTAACAGACAGTCTACTGTCCTTTTCCTGTTACCGACTCAACTGTCATTGCGCCTGCGCGCCAGCGACACCTACAGGCTACCAATACCTGAACATGCCGAATAATTCTGTTGCCATAGCAACAAGCTTTCCAAATTTGCACTTAGCAATCAACTCGCCGACATATGTATATGCTTGTTGCCAAGGCAACAGAATTATT